TTTTTTAGATTGCCACAATATAAAGATGAACAAGAGATCTGAAGCAGCTTGTGAATGAAACCCATTCTTACTTGATTCATAGCTGCTGTACAATAAGCACACAATTGTGTGTACAAATTAGTTTTATGTTTTATACATGAGACATGTATGATACTTGTTACGGTCTAATTAGTTTTTATTTCTTCCTGGTATAATTAACTAGAATGTCTGAAAGACTTGCGTGAAGCCATAATGGAGAGAATATATGTAGGTAAATACATACACATGCATACATAATGCATGCATGAATATATATGTACATACATGCATAGTTACATACTAATGAATAAAAGAATTCTGTAGCACATAGGAGAATATATGGGTGGCAATACATGTGACATTGGACCAGAAAAATGGGCCCTAGAATTTTCCAACTTCTATTCTTCTTTAGATAAGAAATGCAGATTTACAAACTGTAAACAAATGTTTGTGAATTATTGTAGAGAATTGACTAAACTAGACTTTGAGATTGACACCATGGACTCCAACGTAATGTTTTAAAATTCCTGTAATTTTTTCTTTTTGTTGAGTCAGCCTGAGATACTCCTGATTGTAAGGGACTTCCGCTGATAAACAAATTCTATAGTACTTAGAAAGTGGGTGTTGGTCTGTGAGACTATGGTACAAGATGGAAAAAAAAAAATCAATGAGCAACGTCCTGTAACAAACTCTTTCTGCTTTTACCTCCTCACCCAATTACAGAAATGCATGACTCATTAAAGTAACTGTGACTCTTCTTGGCCAAACACAATGTCTCAAGACTTTTATCTTCCAACTTTTTAACAGTTTAGTTTTTTAAAAAGTTTATAATTTGTGACAATCTAATGATTTCTTCCCTGTACTGTTTGTTTGGGGTTGATTAATTAGGAAGAGCAGAATTGCAGGGTAGTTACATATATTTCCTTTATTCAGATTGAGAACTAAAACTAACATTTAAATGAACATACCATATTAATGCTAATAGTAGAGGTATAAATTCACAATAACTTTCTGGTCCAGCATGATTGCCCACACTTTTAACCTCAGTACTTGGATGTCAGAGCTAGGCAGATGTCTGAGTTTGAGACCCACCTGAGCTACATAGTGAGTTCCAGGACAGTAAGGACTACCTAGTGAAACTCCACCTCAAACTTCAACATTCTGAAACAAAAGAATGATGTATCTGGTTTATTTAGAAATATTAGAATTTCAGAAGGGTTTATGAATTTAGTGATATGGATACCAATTTTCTACAGAAGAGATCGCAGGTGAACAGCACCTGAGGAAAATGAGTCTACAAATGTAATTCATATTATTTTCTTAGTAGTATAGATACTCTTAAGAATTGCACCCCCAACCTAAACATTTGCAGCAGGCAGACTTCGACAATCTTGTTCAGTAAAGATCAGGCAGCTTGTAGTGTATGATGCTGGCTGAGTGTCATTATGCAGTACAGGATTATCTTGAACTCTTGCTTCTGTAAGCTCTGATATTGCAGTCCTGCAACATTATCCCAATCTCATATTCTTTTAATAGTTAGAGAAATTGGGACTAGACTCAAAAGACAAAATAAAAAAGTCCTGGACCACATGGATCCTACCTTATGCATGATAAGTTTCTGCCTGCATGTTTAGTTACCATTCTTACCTTTGCCCAGTTCTTACCTTAAAGGGAAATCAATAGTTGATAAAACAAGCATTTTTTTTCCTTTCAAAAGTATAACAGAGTGCCGACATTTTACTCCAAAGGATGTTCTTGCACTTAGTCTTTTCATTCCGCCACTTATTAATGCCACCAAGACTTCAGTAAAGGTTGAAGCCATACCCACATAACTCCCAACTTTTGTTGAATCATATGTGTAAAGTTCACACAATGTAGTCTTGTGATAGTGAAAAGCAATCTGAAATATGAATAACCTTTTAATAATATTTACTCTGTAAGTCATATTACAGATAAACAGTCCAAGTTAGATATCTGGGAGGGGAGTTTCTCTCAGAAATAACCCTTCTACTTCTGCTTCGAAAATAACCTTGCCATTAAGAACAACCTCGACTCTCACTTGATGCTATCCCAGTCTTTGGTTACTTCTTGATTATACATTTTCCTGGTTTATGGAATTCATTGCTAAAAAGAATAAATTTATTCCATACTCATTGTGTCTAATTATATAGCATCTCATTGTCCATACAAACACTGTTTCTTTTTGAGTCATTTTGAGACATACTTAGAAATAGAGGCGTCTCTGCAAAACTATTTCTGCTTTTTTCTCTCTCAACTGAATTCAAAGGAATCTTTTCTTTGCCTGATAATGTTTGCATATGTAACTTCAGCTATTCAGAAGACTGAGTAGGCTTATTCAATAGGCTGAGATCTATTCAAGAAGGCCACAAATTTTGAGGCCAGACTGGAAAATTTAGCGAACCTCTCTTGGAATAAAATACAATAAAGGCTCAGGATGTGGTTTAGTTGTCCTGGGTTTATTCCCTGTTACCACAGAAAATTAATAGGTAAATCAATTAAGCTATGGAACAATTAGCCTACTTTTCCTACATAAAGCTGGAAATTATGTAGAATAATCGTACTGGCTTTTCCTTTTTTCTCTTCCTTCCTCCCTCTCTTTCTGCCTTTCTCTCTTCTTACTTCTCTTACATAAATTATTTTGTGTTAGACATGATCATGTGTCTGCAACTTTCTAGTTTTTAAGTAATTAATGTTGCAAGTTTTGTATTTTAGTCTTTGATATAAGGAATGGTGGGGACATACTATGTCATGCTAATTTATGTATCTGACATAGGTATATTTGGTGCAAGTATGAATATGGTTTATAGTTTTTAATATTGCAATGATTAATGCTTTTCTGTCAGCCAATAAATGTGGTAGAAATATGTAAAAGTCTCAAGATGAATAGAAAAGTAACAGAATTAAAATAAACTTATCATCATATCAATAGATCTATAAATAAAATCTTATGCTAACAAAACACCTGGGACTGGTTGAAGACAGGATAAGACAAAATTAGCAAACATTTCCCTAGAATAATCAGCATAATGCATTCTAAAGAGACCATTTTAGTTTGAAGAGTCTGAATTCTGTGTATGTTGGAAAGGCTGGGTTTGAATCCTGTTTGGAACAAGATTTTTTTAATCATATTCAGTATGATGTCCTTTATTCCTCCTGAAACATGGCATATCTAATTAATAAGTCAAATGATTTCAGGTTTGCAGTAGCCAATTTAATCTTATTTTCAGCAGAAACATTCTTGAACTGCATTAAACACTAGGACATACCTAACTCCACAGTTCTAGAGATAATTGAAAAAAATTACACATTGTTATTCTTAGAAATATAGCTACTTTTCCATGTTACTGCTTCTTGGTTGGTGTATGTATGACCATGCTGTACCATTCTGTAGATCTCAAAAAATGTTGTTGTGTGTACATCAAACATATGTGTTCAAATATCGAGATGATAAAGCAGAGCTGCTAAGTAGAAGGTTTAGGTGTCTCCTTTCAACTCGTCAGTCAATAGTTAACCTAGTAAGTCATCATCTTTATTAGAATATAACTCTCTTGCTTGATAGAGAACTTGTTTTTTGTTTGAAGATACCTTATGAAAAATGGAGACTGAATGATGAATTTGCCCTTAAATATTGGCTACCATAATATCAAATCTTAGACACTTGGACCAAGTATCTTTAGACGGGAAGTTTGTTCATAATGACCTTGATGATGCAAGACTTAAGTTCATATTATTCTTCATTCATATTGTGATTGTTATAAAAGTTTATAACACTCCTCTACGATACACTTAATCAAAATCTTTAAAATAAAATGTACGTGAGGTTAAATGTACTGCTTTAATTTTCATAATTTATTGGTTCTACAAGTGAAGCAAATTGTATACCTTAACACTTTTATGTACTGATACCTTTTAATCTCTATTTTAGAACAAATATCTTATAAAAGTTTCTTTTAAAACAGTTCATAACATGGTATAAGTAATAGTATAAGACTGGTACATGATATAATATTAAATATTTTCACATAATTTTGCTCAAATCAAAATGGTAGAAACTAAAGATTTTCATAAGTTGATTCATTATGTTTTAGCCTTATATTTTTGGTTGTGAGCCTAGCCTTTAACGGCTGAGCCATCTCTCCAGCCCTTTTAGCCTTGAGCTATAGAACACTTTTAATTTCTCCATAGTGAAGTATAGCTATGATATAATTAATGAAGGTGACGACAGCTTCCTACTGTATATGAGATCTTAAAGTAACAGATGTAAACTGCCAAACCAACAGTGATAGAAAGTAGCCATATTTGAAGGGCCTATTCAGTGCTTGTCTTGAAAAATGAAAGAGATAAACAAATTTTCTAGGAATTAATATTGTGCATATGAGTAAAGAAAATATTTTTGTTCTGTTGAATTCATGAATCTCTGGCATAAAATTTTTCTAGAGAATAGATTTAAAACAATCATTATTAGTATACATATGTATATAAAACTACCATATGAAATGGATACTTATTCATATACGCATATACAGATGACTCTGTTGGTTCTTCCAAAGATAGTGGACTAGCAGAGGGTTTGTAGTGAAATAGTTTATATAAAGAAAAATGGAACTATGTTAAAGTGGCACTAAGTTTAACAGATACTCATTCAAAACAAAGAGTTGCATTCAACATTATTTTACTTTCCTATATTAAGAAATAAACATGAAGATCAATTTTTAGTATAACCTGCCATGATACTGAGTCAGACTACTTATTAAAGTAGAGGCAATTTAATTATAATAGAATAATATATTAGCATGGATTTAAGGCTTAATAATATTAACTCTATTTAATAGTTATATTGGACAATAACTAATTAAAATTTTAATGAAGACAAATTAAAACCAATATTTCCTCTCCAAAATGCCAAATAACTTAATTCTCAAAAGACTAAAAAGTTTTATAGAAATAATTAATGTACTCACATATTCCCCGCAGAACATTTTGAAGAGAGGAAGTAACCAGGGTAGATTGCAAGGATTTCAGTAAAGGTCTTACTTCACAGAGTTGTTCCTTGTGAGTCCAAAATGCTGAGGTTCCCTACAGCTCTAAATTTAAATATGTCTGCCTGACCAAGTATCTCAGGCAAGAAAATACAGAAGCAAATCAGGAACAGCATGACTCAAGACACGGTACTTATACTTGGCTATCAATCATATGTAAATAGAATTATCAAACAAAATAAATAGAACCACTAGTCCAAGCCCCTGCTTATGCATTGATTTCAGGAAATTCATTAGCCAAATAAGAAAGAAATGTAACCTTTTGTAAAAGCTGATGACTCATGGAAAAGTAAGCTGATTAGACACTGAGTTAATGGTTTATTTTCTGATAAATTATTATTAAAGCCCAGATGCTTTGAGGTACCCAGCACTAGTTTCATTTCCTTCTCAATTTCTAGGCTGTGATTTTATGAAAATTTTCTCAAGAGAAATACTTAGTAATATTTATTATTTGAAAATTTCATGCTATGTGTTTTGAACATATTCACTGCCATTACGTATTTCTTTAATTAACATTCTTCCTTCCTTCCTTCCTTCCTCCTGAGCCATCTTGAGATTTCGTCTCTTTTTAGTTTTTTTTCTTTCTCCATTGAGTCCAGTTTCTGGAGCCCTACTTCTCTTGAGAATAGAGCGTGTTCTGATGTGTACTTAACCTATGGGGAGTTGTATCATTAAAGAGAGCTATCAGATGCCCGTAGCTTCACAGCTAATGGTGGGATTTCATGTCTACCTTCCCCTCTCTATGAATGATTAGATCTTGTCTGTCTAGGATCTCAAGTCTTGTACATGCATAACAATAGTTATGAGTTCATATGTGCATCTACCTTGTATTTGGAAAATACTGCCTTCTTTAGGTTATCTATCACACCTAGCTTTTACAACCATTCTGTCGCCTTCCATGAAGATCCCTGAACCCTGGGTGGGAGGACATCATATGGATACCCCATGTAGGACTGAGAACTTCAGAGTATCTCATTATCTTCATGGTGACCATATAGATATCTCTGCCAATTGCCATCTACTACATAAAACTTTTCTGATTTGAGTTGAGGAAGTTCTGATCTATGCATATCACAATAAATCATTAGGAGTCATTTTAATATTATGTCCATTTAGCAGAGCATTAGTTAATGTATAGCTAGTTTTTGTTAAAGCATACTGTATCTGTATTTAGTATCCAAGTGGCTTCTAGTATAGAAATCTTTGAAGAAATATAGGTACTACTATTTTCAAGTTTCATTATAAAATGTATTATTTTCATACTTCATTTCATCTGAAGAAACAAGTACTTGAAACCATTAAAAACAAAGATTATATTAGGAACTGTCTATTGTCACAAATTTCTTACACATTGTTCTAAAATATAAAGTAAATTTGGGTTATTTTTACTGTTAATTGACATTTAATGAATAAGACATTTATGTTCATTTTGATTTTGTAGTAAATATGAATAACACTTTTCTGAAGAACAGACTATAAAAAGATAATTACAAGCAGCTCAAAATCTGTAATTCCAAAAAATATTTTCTCAAAATATATAAAATGTTAAAATAAGGATAAAATTAAATAAGAATAACACATTACTGTAATATATACATTAGTATATAACAATCAGTCAGATATCTAAATTATTCATTCTATTCCTTTACTTTTTTTCCTCTTCCTTCTCTTCTTTTTCCTCATTTTTCTCCTCTGTATTTGGAGTTTAATTTAAATAGATTTGCATTGTATACCAAATACCTAACTATTTTGTACTTCTGTTTGTGGATAATCAGTTTTTCCACTGAAGACATTTTTGTTCCCCATTGAGTTTCCTAATGCCTTTGCTGTAAATCATTGAGGAACAGAACTTGGCCTTGAGGGTCAGCAAAATGGTTCAAAGATACAAGCCCTTTGTTCACCACTCCAGAGGGAGTGGGACCTAGGAGAATGGAGCTATCATTTTAGAAAATAAGAGAATTCATACTCCAAGGGTTAAGAGATGTTACTTGAGGAAAGTGTGCAGTCACAAGGGCAAGCCACATGTGCTAAGCAGGTTGCATGGGAAAAATATGTTTTCCATAAAGGCATAAAAACAACAGCCAGCTATAATGAATAATCTGAAGTAAACGGAGTCCTATCTGCTACATCTGTGAGGAGTACAAAAACATGCTCCATGAACAATTCTGTATTTGAAGAAACTAAAGTGACAAGACTCTTGTCTTGTTTTCTTGGCGTTTTCTCACAAGCATTCAGAATTCTCCATGGATGAGTCCATTCTAGGACCATGCTCTGGCAGCATTTAGTGTTCAGACTTGAGGACCCAAGTTCAGTTCCTGGAACGGATATAAAGATGGAAGAGAGAATGATCTCAATAATTTTGAAAACAGATTATATGATTTCTATCTTTTTATTTTTGTTCAAGATTATTTTGATTATTTGAGTTATTATCAGTTCCATGTATTTTGGGTTATTTTGTTTATTTCTGTGAAAATGCTGTTAATATGTTGTTAGGGATAATATTAATTCTACAACTTGCTTTTTTTTTTATTGGTCACATTCATTGACATTATTAAGTCTTCAAGCCCACAGATCCAGGATATATGTCTATTTGTTTGTGCTGTCTTCAGCTTCTTTCATTAGCTCTTCTTGGTTTGTAGCTTTTGAAACTTCCACTTCATTGATTAAATATAGTCTATGTCAATTATTTCTCCTTGGTACTATTGTAGATGGAGTTTTAAATTCATTTTTTCCAGATAGTTCAGTGTCATGCTTTTGTATGTTAGTTTTATAACCAGAAATAACTGAATTTCAAACCAGGTTCCTGGATACAAGAGAGGCAGGATTGTCTCTCTGTCCTCTAGACTCCTTTTAACTTTCAGAGAAACAGAGTCAGTGTTCCTCTATTCACTCTCCTCTACCTCAAGCACAGATTCTAATGTATATTGCTTTATTCTATACAGAACATTTTAACTTAGGAAAGGAGATGTGAACATTTACAAGTTTAAAAGTTATCTTTGTTTTATCCTCTGAGGTCTGGGAGTCCAGAGTCCATCATTTACCATAAATTTATTAGCCAGTCCCTCAAATAGGAACTTAGAGACATGGGTGGCTTGATGTCTATAAAAAGAACTTCTAATAAGAGACTAAAAATTCAGACGTTGCCATACCAAGCCTGGGAAGAAAGTGTAAGCAGTGTCTACCACTCTATTTAAACAAGCAGATGTGTTATACTGTCTTTACGAAGGGAGACTTGTGAGGAGAGCTTATGTTAGAGCAAGGTGTGGAGAATAGCTAAACTTTTCATTCTGCCATAGAGAAATCCTAGACTCACGTATCAGCCAACTTTTCATCATTGTGACAAAACACCAATAACCTTAAAAGTAGAAAGGTTAATTTTGGCTATGAGTCCATCACTATTTGATAATTTCTTTTGGACCTGAGATGAGGCAGTATAATTTCATAGGAGCAAGTAGGCTGCTTATCTTATGGTGGTCAGGAAGCAAGGAGAGAAAAGGACCCAACTGGTGTTTCAGTATTCATTTCAACGGCCTAATTCTAAGGAGCTAACTTCCATCATTTGCTATCCTAATGTCTCAATTATGAAACAAGAGATGTTTATTTGGTGGACTTTTGAGAAACACTTGAAATCCAGAATATAATGTCTTCTAAAGAACCGTCAGGGAATTTCCGACAGAGTCACCAAAGGAGGACAGTATGGAGTATTCTGATCTTCTTGCTTAGATACAAGGTATTTGTCCTCAGATAAAAGATTATTAGAGGCCAAGAGACGCTGGGAATGCGATTACCTAAATCCTTTTAAAGAGGAAGTTCGAAGCTGGATAGACTATCAGAGTTACACTGTTAAGGAATTGTCATGTGACACATAATCTCCATTTGCTCTTTGTGTTTAATGAGAATCATCTCCTATCTCTGATCCTTAAACAGAATGATCTCAGAGCAAAGGCACCTGGCAGGACTTGGAAATCTTGGCATCCTGCAGGTGTGATACCCTTAAGAATCCATCTGGGTGTTGGGGATTCCTTCCTGATTTGAGGGTGTGGGGCTCAGGATCAAATTAGCATTCCACAAGTCTCTACTTTTCCTATCACTTTAAGTTTTGAGATAGGATCTCACTAGATAGCATTGGTTGGCTTGGAAATCATTATGTAAATTAGGCTGGCTTTGAACTCATAGAGATCTGCCTGCTTCTCCTGTTTTGTTATACTTGTTTTGATATCATTCATCACTGTAGCAGACTTCAGCATTGATTCTGGTATTCTTTAGGTAACTACTGGTCTGTGCTCAAGTGCTTATGGAGGAAAACCTTGGGAGGAGGCAAAGTCAGGAACCATCTGCCAAATGGCAGATATCAGTTTATAGATAAAAGCTGAAATTCTCTGGTGTACCACATTAAACACTTGTCTAACCCTTCCTGGATTTGTGGTCATGCAATTCAATAGCAAAAATTTATTAGACAACTGACTAACAATGTGATAGATATTTGACACATCATTGAACAAGACAAAAATCTCTGCCTCATTTTTCTTTAATTAATGAATTGGGAAAGTTTGTACTCAGTTTAGTAGTATGCTTTGTACAAGTAAGCTATATACCACTGACTGGGTCTCTTTGAAGATGGAAATTCATCTCGACTATATAACAGTATGGAGAAAACTAGAAAATAATAAATAGAAAATATAGATAATTACATCTTCCAAACAGACATAACAGTTTTGCATCACTGTTATTCAGAGTTCTAAAAAATTACTTGTTTATATCTGTTAAAGTTGACACATAAAGGCATTTTCCCTCAGTTTTAGACAGTTACAATTTATTTTTCCGCTCCTAAAGTAGGCAGTGGGATCCAACCACTAGTAATTCAAATCTATAATCGTTAATGTAAAAGAATAACTCCCCCTCTTATTTACTAGCCAAATATTTTATAGCTTTAAAAAATTATTTCCATTTTATTTATTAAAAATTATCAGAGTATAGTTATATATACTATACATTTGTGTTAATAAATTTAAATAATTTATGTTAATACATTATTTTTAATTTTTACATTTCTTTTTTTTTTCTGCCTCCTGTACCAAGATACTTCTAATCCATATTCTGTTGTTTTTA